TTTAATGCGATCAAACGTATAACTTCATTTTATAACTCAAATTTAAACTCTATTATTTAAATTACATGAAATCATTTGTATGTAAGAAAGAATAATGAATAAATTATTTGTATTGTATTTTTTGACAATTAATTAAATATCTTAAATGTATATGCGATACAATTATATTGGATCAGACCAAATAGATGAATTTTGAAGAAAGTTCTGACAATGGGGCGATACTCGAGGCTCTCTCTCTCTCTCTCTCTATCTATCTGTCTGTCTCTCTCGTTCTCTCTCACTTACTCTACTTATTTATTTATTTATTAATTTATTACAAAAATTCAAGTCCAGATCTGATATTATCCACCTAAAAATACAACGAGTCGTAAGTGGCATTAATTCAACTAGAAGAAATGAAAGCTTTAGCACTTTCTATCACAATCAATTATAGAAAGGTAAAGTAATTTTTAACAATAAAGCTTGTATATGAATAATTAAGTGCTACTAACTTATGAAAAAGATGTCCACGAATGAAGAGGCGAAATGATAAATCGATAAATGCTTACCTTTACACGAAAGCACGTTCACTCAGAAAGGACGATCGTTAGAGCAGCGATTTCTCTTACTATTTATAGTTTTAATGAAGAATTTTCATTAATGGTAAGGATGAACGTTATGAGCATCATTATTGGCTTTCAAATAAAGTTATACACTACAACTCGGATAACCGCGTATCAGCTAAACCGAAAAGCACATAACTCAGGCAACAAAAAGGGCGAAAATCGTAAGGAGAAAGATATTGTCAACTTGGTAAAAGTTTTTTGATAAAGAGAAAAGTATTGTACGGATGTAGAAAAATAAGTGCAAGTGCAATGGTTTCGATTTAAAATCTTGTTGTAAAACTTTTCAAACTATCTTGTCGTAACTACGTTTTAAAAACGAAAAGACACATTACTCGAATAACTAATATACTAATTAAATAATTATCTTTCATCCATCTGATAATCTTTTAATAATTATGTATTCTTATAACTCATATTATATTATTTTAATCCAATACTATATTTTATTGTAATATTAAATGAAATTGTAGTTTAAAAATCAGGCAAAAACTGCAATATGTACATTCAAGAATGTACAAGAATGTGTGTAAGAACCAATTTCGAATATCTTATATTATTATATAAACTTGAGTCGATGAATATATAAAAGAGCATTGGATATACAATTGTTAATCTAAAACAATAATTTAGTTGTTTTATGTGAAGTTATTGGATAAGCTAGAATCATGTATACTCATTTTTAACCTTTGTTAACCTTAAACTTGAAGCTTCTGTAAAATTTTCATCGTAAATGCTTAAAATAATTAAAAATAATAATAATGCTTACTTAAAAAACTCAGAAGAATATTATGAAAAGATACTTTTTGCTTTTTAATATGCCCTTGAATAACTTGTTTTTTTCTACTTATGAATAAGCTAGAAAACTTTCATTCCTTTAAATGGTAATTTACATATTATATAAGATATTAATGTATCAATGTAACAACAACAACAACAACAATAATAATACAGTATTTAATGTGACTATATTTAAAATCAATGATAGAAAATATAATCGCACTTATGAAATTTAACAGGCATTATGTATCGTGAATTTATTAGAAAATAAGTTTAAAATTAATTGATACGCCGTTTAATAAAACTTAAACATTATTTGATGTTTGATATTATAATAAGATCTTAACTACATATATAATAGAGTCTAATGGAACATAATATCATTGTTTTAATATAATAGTTACATCTAAAATAAATCATTTAACCAGCCACGTTGCAGAATACCCACAATGTGGGTAAATCTTAAAACTTCCATATTTTAATGCTATAGTATAGATCAATGTATAAAGGTATAAGCCAAGATGCACTTTTGAATGAAAGCTTGATTAATGTGAAGGAATCTTTTCAATTATGAATAAAAGGATTTTGTCAAAGTAATTCCTACTGTGACTTGCAGTAAAGTAAAATGATTGTATATATCATGAAATCAGAGGCATCATACAAAAGGGAAAATGCTTTAAAACTTTCACAATAATGACTTGTAAATTATTACACTTTTATAACTAAATTGCTTATAATTTGCAAATTGTTTTAAAAACTAACGAATATTACATTTATCCCAACATAAATATTTTTTGTAAATTAAGTCTCATTAATTATGCTATTTCTTTAAGTACATCGTTGCCCATTAGACTACATTGTTGTGAGACGAAATGCTAATGGATATATTTCAATAAATCCGACTCCACGTATACTCACGTATTAATTAATAATTTTTACACGTGTCAAAGTAACTCATAGCTTGTACTTATAGAAGCTTCTTACCTCGTAAAAATAATATTTATTGCGCAACATTTTACGTGTATAAGTACATGCTAGACCGGAGAAATTAAGCTACGCTCGTAGAGCATATATAGTGGTTCTTACATTTAGTTTTACTACATGTCCTTGTCTTTTATTATCAGGCAGATCTATAGCAATCTAGGATATCGTGCTCAAATACGTTTCGTGATCATAATGGGCTAGTGTGGTGCTCTTTGCTGGTTTATTGACGTTTCCGCCTGGGGTCTGAAAGTCGTATTGTTAAAGCAGCTCTCCAAAGATTATAAAGCGTATCTCATTTCTTCTTCTGACTTATTTCCTTAGTTTTTCCTTTATGTTCGAGTTGACTTTTCTATTATCGACGTTTAATAGATCGGCTAAGAAATTTTACTCGAATCGCTTTGAATATTCAGCGTTATTTTTAATAAAACTTTATTCTAATTTCAAAATTTCAACTTTAATTTGTATATCAAGTATTCCTTATTCAGAAATAACTTGACAATCTCGAGACCTTTCTAGCATAAATTATTCACTACATTCGAATTCTTCGAGATTCTGCTTTATACAAAAGTCAATAATTTTTTTTCTTCAAATGATAGGCGAAGAGAAGAAATTTCTTTATTACATTTAAAGGCCTTCAAAAAATTTTATTTCTACGCTTACGCAATTCATGAATTATTGCCCGTATTAGTTAATAGCGAGACATAAGAAAATTTGTAGCACTTATTAATGTCATTTTAAAACTCAATCTTTAGCGATAATTATTTAAGATTAGTTAGGTGGCAGATGTTACTTTTAAGTCATTATAAAATTTTATATACCAACTGTTTTATAAACAAAATATTTGACTAAATATAATCAAATTTTCAAGCACCAAAGATGTTTCCATATTTAATGAAGAAATATAGCAAACTTGATGTTGGCGTATCGAGCTCGCGTGTAAATTTATATGAATCACGTTTCTGTCTCTGCCTTATTATCGATATATATATATATATATATATATATATATATATATATATATATATATACACTGTATAATAAATTGAAAATAATATAAAAATATATATATATATATATATATATAAACTGTATAATAAATTGAAGATAATATAATAACTGAAATATAATAGCTGAAGATGCATACTTTGTCTCAAGGTTTCCATACACGCGTCTCCAAATCATTTACTGCTCATGATTACACCATCAATTCACTAACTTACGAGCTAAGAAAATCGAGGTGTCGTTCTTTCAATGATTGAACGTGCTCCAACAAAATTATTCTTCATGGCTTAATAATGGATTCTTAATTGTTCAATTAATACATTTAATTTTTCGAAATATCTAAATATATATAAATGCATTGTACATCTTCTGCAGTAAAAATGATTGGAATGGTACGGTGAAATTGACAGAGCCCATGATTACAAAATTCCAAAATTAAATTCGAAAGTACTGACTCAAAATAGAAATTTTATTTGAAAAAGTCTATGATACAATATTGATGTGGACCAAGTATCCTATGCTAGTCTAGAGAAAAAGGAGAATTTCAGGAAGTGGTCGATGAAACTTATCGTGCCTCTCTATGAAAATTTTTTCTAAAACAATATTTGATAATAATAACTGTTTATCGAGAAAATAATGATATCCTCATATCAACATTGAATGCAAATATTAAATCTATAATTCCTTTATTAGAGAAGCTCATTTATTCTATCTATATTCAAAGTGGGCTTAAAAATCGTTTGATTAATAGTATTGATCAAAATCAATTGTACTACCATTTTTTATAAATATTTACAGATAAGTTTGGTATTGGGTTGAGTGTCGCGGATGAAAAAGTGACGTAGATACTTAACGGCGAGAAGGGCCGCTTGGAAGGTTGAGGGTTTGTTCGCATTGGACGCTCCAGGGTCCAGTGTAGTCGTAATGTCTATCGCGTCTAATGTATGATTGTGTACAACAAATGGTGAACTCTTCCTAACAGCTTCAAGTGCCATTATTTCACGATTTTTTCACAAGAGTTTGGCTAATTCAGTCAGATCACGTGATTTGGAAGCGTCATTTCACATCCCTCTGACATGGCTGGCGATGTGCACGAAGAACCTTCATAGATATAATATTATAATAGACAAGTTGGGATTAACTTACATCGGGGTTATAGAGCCCCGACGCAAATCCATCTTCTATACTTGCATATATATATATATATATATATATATATATATATATATATATATATATAATACTTACTTTTCTATGGTTAAAGAAGAATACATAATACTTACTTTTCCATGGTTAAAGAAGATTTTTCTACAAATATATTTTAATTGCATACTTAATAACGCCTCATAAAATATTGTATAATTATATTTTTATATTCTTATGTGATACTTGTAGTGCTTGCAATTAGCATTTATAAATATGCAGAAAAAAAATAATTCGACAAAGCTTCACCATCAATTTATTTAAGTATTATTATCATTATCATAGATCATAATCATACCTTGTTTATTTATCTATAAGATTTTTATTATACTACTTACTATACTTTCTAATAAATGTAATTTATAAAATATTATGCGATTCTTAGCATTATATATAGCATTCTTTATAACAAGTCGATTTTCTCTACTGTTTCAGATCTTACAAGACTTTTAACAACTTTTGAAAAGAATTCTATAGTGGTAAGTTATCTACAGTTTTCTCCTTTAAGAATTCCCACTTATTTGATATAGGCCAAGCCTTTATAGAATTCTTTATCATTCAATAAGACATCTTTAATTAAATTTTTATAATAATATTGTTCTTGATTGAAATTTTTTGCCGATAAATTTTAAATCTAAATGGCAAAAAACTTAAAAGTTATAAATGATAATCCTGCAGGGGTATATTTTTTAATAAATTCAAAACACTAACTTGTAGTAGTTCTATTATTTTAGTATTATTAACTATTTTTTAATCAAATGAGCACAGTTTAACATAGATGTACGAAGCTTATAAAAACCTTTCCGATTGGGAATTAAATTATTAAACGAACCTCATATATCTTACGATCGATACATATCTAATCGATTGATTATTTATCCAATATCGTAATTATCTTGTTCTTTAATAATGAGGCCACCATTATTTATTCTCTATTATCTATAATATTACAATAAGAAAAAACGTTACAGAAGGTAGAAACATTTCTATTATTACAAAAAGACAATAGAGCGGCAAGAGAAATCACATAATTCTTTCCATCCCTCAAAGTTAAATTTAATTTGCAAGTTTATGTCAGAAAAGAAGAGGTCTCGGTCGATTCTCGAGGAAGGCATACTTACACATCCATGTCTACGAAGCTACAGGGTGGGAGTTTCTTAGCACTAGATAGGTAGAGAGTGAGAGTGAGAGAGAGAGAGAGCGAGAGAGAGAGTGAGAGTGAGAGAGAGAGAGCGAGAGAGAGAGAGTGAGAGTGAGAGAGAGAGAGCGAGAGAGAGAGAGTGAGAGTGAGAGAGAGAGAGAGAAAGCAGGAGAGTGAAATATATAGCGAGCGAATAGTGAAGAGGGAAGGAGGGTGGCGGCAGCCAGTTAATGACTGCGGAGCTCAGGACGCAGAGAGTCGAGGGTGAGGTGAGATTCAGCTGGCTCCGGCAGCCTAAAGATATAACTGTCGGGGAACAGGTGGGGGTTGGTGGTGGTGGCGGTGGTGATGGTGATGGTGGTGGTGATGGTGGTAACAACCGCACCGTGGATCGGTTACTCTGCGCATTGACGAGCGCGAGAATCGACGTCCTCTACGGCTTGTGCTATTGCTATTCTTACTTTTTGGCTCGGAATGGTGGAGTTGTCATTGAATTATATCTGCAGGGAGGCGTTATCACCCATGATTATAACAATTCGGTTTTCAGTGCCGAAATTAACACGTCGTCCCGTTAAATCGGGGAGTAGGTGATTTGGCTTTCCGAGAAAAGAGCAAATGATGATGATGTATATGAATAGTCCATAATCCAATATATTATTGTAAAATTCGTCGTATAATTTATACGTTAATAATTATCAATTTACTGAATATACAGTACAGAAGTAACGCATCCTTTTGTTTTTACAGTACAAACTAAAATATTATATCAATTGAGAATTATTCTTCTCATTATGATATACGATCGCTTTTGTTTAAACTTAAAGTAAATTTAAATCCCGTACGTCATACAGTTAAGTATTAAAGTAAATAGGGAGAGAGAGAGAGAGAGAGAGAGAGAGAGAGAGAGAGAGAGCATAATATTTGTCTTGATTTAAAATATGACACTCTTGTAAGGGTAGTATAATACATTATAAAAAGAATGAAAATCAAGATAATTTTAATGTGTATGATATTATATGAAAAAATATTAATAAATTTCTTATTAAACTATTTCTTTCTTGTCATAAGTATTAATTTAAATGTCACTATTACATGAAATTTCAATGAACTATGCAATATAAATCTGGCCACTCGAAATTTTCAAGTCACTTAAGATCTCTCACCGATGTAAAAATGAAACCCACATCACTCTTATTTCGAAGATCTGACCTACATATTTAAGACCTAAATTGATAAAAGATTTATATATTCTATTTAGGATTCGTGTCGTTATTTTGTCCATTGATTTTCTGTTCTCGTAGAATAAGTGAAAACAAAAAAAAGGCGGATTGAAGTGGAATGGAATAAGGATAAAGAGAGCGAGAAATAAAGGGAGAGAGAGAGAGAGAGAGAGAGAGAGAGAGAAAGAGACGAGACGAGACGAGACGAGACGAGACGAGACGAGAGAGAAGGAGAGAAAGATAGAGTTGGCGACGGAGAGGAACGAGGAGTGCAAGGGGAATAAGCAACTGAAAATAAGAAATCAGAAAGAAATGAACGACTCTTTGGCGACTGGCACATGGAAACTTGGTTTCATCCACCAGAAGTTCCCAAACTTCTTATATTGTGACGTACAATTCGCAAATATAATAAACAATCCAATGAACAGCAAAATAAAGGAGTTCAATTTTGAAAAATAATCTTCAGCCGACTCTGCCTTCCACTTTAATTTCACTTAAAAATTTCCTGTAAAACACTTTACTATAAACATACATTTAAGCAACATATTCTTCTACGAAGCTTTTCATATTTTTAATTGTAGATACTATAATTAAATAAATTAAAGTAACATTATACTTTTGCGATAGTGAAAATAATATATTCTTTCAAAATTAATTACTTTTATTTAGTAATAGAAAGTACTTTTTGAAATTCTGCACAGGAAAGAATACAAGACTTTTTAAATTAAAAAATACTGAATAAATTATACCGACTCGTTTTTAAATTATATTTTCTATATTCGGATAGAAATTTCTAAATGATATAGTAATATTATTGTATTGAAACGAATTTAACTATTTGATTATATAATCGCCGATAAGAGCAGCGATAATATTATTTCTATGAATAATGATTACATTCCAATCATAGTTTTTAAAACGATGTTTTTGCACAGTACGTACATTTTTATTCCGGAAGAAAAGCAAAATATAATGATATTAAAAAAAAAAAAAAACTTTATAACGATATGATGTTTTATGTCTTTAAAGTAAGTGAAATAGTAAGTATTGGAATTAAGCGATTAAACTTCTTTTCTATTAGTAACGAAAATGTCAGCCTGATAAATTATTAATCGAAATGACCGAATTCGGCTGTCATTTCATTTAATAAGAATGAAAAAACGAAGTTGAGAAAAAAATCAAGAGATAAAGAGCACTAATTAGTAATCGGATTATCCCCAAAGATTCTACTCATTCGTCATCCATACTATTCTTGAAACTCAAAACAAACAAAGCAAATATCAAAAGATAGGACATTCCAAAAAGTTAGTTTTCACGGATTGTCGAGCGCGTTTCATCACGAGACTCGTGTGCGAGCTTCCCAGTGCCACAAAGCCCCTGAAAAAATGTTTACCGCGTGCTCTATATGTGTGCGCACTCTCTCTCTCTCTCTCTCTCTCTCTCTCTCTCTCTCTCTCTTACTATCATTCGCTATCTGGCCTCGCTCGCTCATCAAGTTCGCCTCAACGGGCTGTGGGAGAGTCAGGAATGAAGGCGGCGAGGTTTGCGCGGCTCATCGAGCTCTGCTCCCAGCGGGGCGCCTAACTCGAGACTACGGGCCTGGGATGCCGCCCTTCCGCCCGATCAATATTACACGCTGGTGGGGCCGCCGGCGGATCACTTCCTCCCCCTTCCGCCCACCACTACCACCGACCAACTCGCTCATTCGTTCTCTCACTCTTTCTCTCTATCTCTCCCTCTCCCATTCTGTCCCTCTTGTTTCGGCGGGCGAAGAGGGTGCTTAGGTTGGTAATGGTGATGATGGTGATGGTGATGGTGATGGCAATGGTGATGGTGATGGTGCTGGTGCTAGCGTTGTTGATAATGGTGGTGGAGATGGTGGCGTTGGCGTTGGCGGTGGCGGTAATGGTAGTGGTGATGGCGATGGTGATGGTAGCTGCGGTACTGGCTGTACCGATAGTGATAGCGGTGGTGGTTGTGGCAGTAATAGTGGTGGTAGCAGCGGCGGCGGCGGCGGCGGCGGCGACGACGGCAGCGGTAGTGGAAGTCGACGTCGCGTCGGCGGTAAGGGGAGAAAAGAGACTTGGCGTAGTCGCCGGCTCGAGCAGTGGGGGCAAGGCACCCGCGAGGTCGAGCGTACGTGGGCTTCGACGGACGTAGGGGGTGTATACTGCTTCACCCCCACCCCCAAGGGAGCAAGAGGGAGCCATCGTCATGGCGTCGCGAGGCAACACCGGACGAACGCGAGAGTGAAAAAGATAGAGAGCTAGAGAGCTAGAGAGCTGGAGAGAGAGAGAGAGAGAGAGAGAGAGAGAGAGAGAGAGAGAGAGGGAGCCGCCGACGTTGACGCCTCGGGTGCAGCGTCAGTAGTGGTACGCCTCGCCGCGAGCGTCAGTTGACGACGAGGACGACGACTAGGGACGCACCGAGACCCTGCGAGGGTGTCGGAAGACAGCGAGAGAGTCAGAGGCGGCTCGTACGAACGCGTGTGCGCGCCAACTTTCCAGTTGGGCGGTGGTAGCGAACGCACTCGCGGACAGGAACGCGACAAGCATATACGTTCGCAGTTCCGTCACGTGATCGCCGAGCATAAAGTGAAAGAAAGAGGGAGTGACAGAGCGAAGCTTACGCGTGCACTTTCTCTCTTCGATTAGAAAATCTCAGAGTCCTACGAACAAAGTAAAGTGCTTTCGGTACTCGTGAATTGAATCGCGGGCGTGCATCCGGGAGACATCCGGCCCACCGTAATCCTACACCCTCCCTCCCCCCTTCTCCTTCTCCTCCTTTTCCTCCTTCTCCTCCACACATAGCACATGGAAGCCACATCGGATGACGATACCTTCCAGCCTGATCGCTCTCGGTACGTCGTCCGGCCGTGCAATCAAGTAGCCTACCTCGATGGGTGCATCTCGATTACGATACCGCCAGCGTGGGAGAGAGGTTAGGTACGCGCGATAGGTCCGCGAGGTCACTATCAAAGGGGTGCCGGGTGAGGGCGGGAGGGGCGGGAGGGGCGGGAGGGGCGGGCGGTCGGGGGAGGAGGCCGTCGTGCGGTAAAGCGACGCTCGCCTCATCCGGCCACACTGTCGTCCAGCTCGGGTCGAGTCAACGTATTTAC